CAAGTTTTTCTCGTTCACATTTATATTATACTTGTAGAAAATATTTAATTTTTTTAAGTGTCTGAAAACATTTTTTTACAACTAGTCTATATGACTTTACTTCATATTGCTCAAATATGGCAAATTATAAATATAAATGTAACCACTTTATTATTTAAACTAAAGCACATTGATTCTTATCAAAAAACTTTATCCTAATCTTATGTGTATCAATATTATATTCGAATATTAAATTTACATTTGCATGTGAAGAACGATGGCTATAATTTACAAACAAAGCAGAGCAGAACAAACAAGTTGTCCATGTGTTCAAAATGTCAATGGCTTTTCTTTTTCTAATGTGTTTCAAAGTTAACTAAAATCCGCCTCTTAAGTGTCGCTCGAGTGAAAGTCTGAATGTTACGCTTAAGTCGCGTTTAAAAATTTTACTTGTAGGCTTATTTTATAACTTTTAACGACAGTTCGGTATTGTTATAATATTGTTGCACAACTTTTTCGTCATGTAAAATACCTGCGCAACGATATCTCTAGCTAGTAATAAAATCATTACAAAATAAGTCTACTGGATACATTCGAGTAATATTTTATCCTTGTTGCCGAATATTAAACAAGGATAAAATGATATCTGGGTGTATTCAATTGAAATTTTTGAACATAATCTTAATTTACTTTGGAGGAGAGTTGAAGGAAACCTGAATGACTTTGGATGTATTCGCTTTTTATGCTCACATGCACAATTTCATTCTTGTTATCTATTAAATATTAAATAAAAGATGCTTACAAGTGCTATGAGCAAAAGTAAATGTCCTGTGAGTGACGAGGAATATCCAATTGGAAAATCTGAACTCACTCTAGATGTACAAATATTTTTAATAAATATTTATAGAATATTTATAGAATGTTTGTGTGCTATCTGAATAATGCTATTTATTTCGATGTCGCAAGAAAGAATTTTATAAATTTTAGACTTACCAAATTATAATTTTGGACAGCATATTTTTTTCTCTTCGATCTGTGGAATAGATTGTTCCAGGTCCAAGTATTCAATGCTTATTTTTTTCTCATCAAAGATCGGTATACGTTATCTCGTTGTTAATTCTGAAATTCGCAACACATGATAACATGTTCTTTCGTTCGTGATTTTATTATAGAAACGGTCTAAACATGGGTTCTAGATCATTTATGTTGACTTCTTGGCAGCTTGTTGAACCTACACCTATTATTTATTAGAAGTTAACTATTATATTGAGTTACTGTACTAAATGCAGCTACTTGATGTACAAGTTTCGTCATTTGTTAAGTTATGTTTATTTATATTTTTATATATATGTTTTCTATTGTGAAAAAGACGCTTCGCAAGGCAATTAACACTTGACACATAATCGCTGATCTCGTTCGATGGGATTATGAAGTAATTGTTTCAACAAAGGGGCACGCGACGAGAGCTCTAATTACAATTTTATTGATTACCGCTACTTGTACTTTCATAGGAGTGTAATTATTGTGGTAAGTGTGTTCAGCGCAACTCGCAGGATGCTCTTTTATCTCGATTTGTTCTGTAGATACATCGTGTATCACACACACACACACACACACACACACACACACACACACACACACACACACACACACACACACATATATCTTTCTAGTGATATATATGTATAACTTAGAAAAATTGCATAGCGAATTTCAATTAAGGCAACCGATTATGTAATTCAATGATGGAGTTTCGATGAAGTTTCGATCATGTTAGTATAGTTTTATAAATAATTGTTGTCATTGTACATCTTATTGTGATGTACACACAATTTAAAACAATGTAATGGAGCGTCCTGCAAGATAAATTTTACATGTATACAACGTAAATAATGTTATGAATTTGTCAGTCAATCAAATTTGTTATGGCGGCTACTATTATTGTTTTTATTATCATTGCTATTATCGATATTATTGCTGCAATTGTGTATTTATTATTGTAACTATTTGTATATTGTCTGTCGGCTTCGTCGCGGTAAGACAAATTACCTAAAGAGAATTTATCGATCGTTTATCGACTATCAATCGATTGATCAGTTGTCGCTATTATATCTATATCTTGTAATTATCGCGTCACCTGTGTCTACGACGCGTGTCGCGAATGAAGACACTATTTCCCGTTTTATATCATTCAACATCGACATATTTTATTTCGGAATAAAGCCATTTTTCTCAGATTTTTATTTTATTCGTGATTTATTTCCTTATTTTATGTTTATCTTCTTCTTTTGTACTATTAATTTATTATTAGTAAAACGATTATTAATTACTTTCGCTTTATTAAGAGTTATTCGCGCACTAACTTGTAACTAGCTTATTGTAATAACTCGATTAACGGTCCTTACCTCTTTCTAGATTTTAAAGTTAATTAATGTAACGTCGAGATAAGAGGAGAAGAAATTCGTTTAATCACTTTAATCTACATTGGTGCAATTGGAATAGTATTAATCTGCGAGAGTAAAAGTGAAATGGGAATATTCATATTTAGGCGCTAGACACAGGTCGAGTTAATTTGTGTCCACAAACCGAGCCAGTCTCAGACCACCGTCCCTTTCCTTTTCGCCTCGCACCACCGTCGAGAACGAGCCAGGCAAAAAGAAAGATCTTTCCGTTTCTCGAGAAAGCTGTTCTCACTATTTTTCATGAGAAATTTCGTCCTCAACTCTACCTAGCCGTCCGCGCTGCTCCACGCGACTGGAGAGACAGCGTCAAAGAGATCTAAATTAATCTGTATTGTAACTACAAAGATAATTGTTATTCGGGAACTGTGCATAATTATTGATGTTTAATAACTACGTTACATTTAGCGAAACTTCAATATTTATTTTTTACAGTATTATTTCTACTAATAAGATAATTGATGCAGTTTCTGTGATTGTATTTCAAAAATTTCATTGCTAATTCTGAAAATCTATAGTAAACGTAAACTATAGATTTTCAGAAATGGTAGTAAATTTTGGAGCACAGTCTGTATTATACTTAAAACTTTTCTACTTCTTGTTAATTGATGTCTGAAAAGATAACAAAGCACAATTTCCAAAGTATTTAAAAATAATGAAATAGCCCAGTCGTGGAAGCGCACACCTTCGACAACTTTTGCCAAAAACAATTCTGTCCTTTCGAGGGATCGATATGGTCTTTCTGTACATTTACGTCCTTCACAAAGTTCCTTCACGTCGTAAAAGGTTGCGTACCGACGTCGTGAATTTCTATTTGCGTTATTTTATTGTTTATTATAATTATTCTGAAAAAAAAATCTTTAAAAAAAGAAATCCTTTCTCTGTTAAGCCTTTCATTCGTCGGATTCTTATAATTATCGAGCGACAATTATCGATTCGTTTTAATAATCTATGTTAATGATTTTTCCTGCTTGTATCTTTTAATCTCCTTTAAACTCTGTAAATCGTATTTCCTGAAAAGGATCCTAAAGAATACGCAACCGAGTTATTCATCAAGTTCGTGTTTAAGATTATTAAGCTGAAGAGAAAAAAAAAAGAAGAAAAATAGAGCGAATTTTAGACAAATCCAATGAAATAACCTAGACAGAAGACCAATCGTGAACAATAATAGGGATCTGTCTGCCAAGGATTGGTAAACAAATGGCAGACAGATTTGCTCAAGGCTTCCACAAAAGCTCTTATTGCGTCCCGTCCGGTGAGCTTCCCGACGGTGGTGCGTTTAGATCACGATATGTGAGACTAGAAATATGAGAGAGAGAGAGAGAGAGAGAGAGAGAGAGAGAGAGAGAAAGAATGGGACTCAAGTAACGAGTTCGATTAGTTGTAACGGCGTAGACTAAGAAATTAACCGACTGCGTACGTGTGCTGGAATTATTATCATGGAATTCTCTAGGAGAATTCCATAGAGAACTCTCGATGTAACAACGCGCGAGTAAAAACGTTCCGACAGACATCGGGAAATGCTGCGCTGAAATTGGGTCCATGTTGCATTTACGCGAGATATTTTTGCACTTTGTCAATCAGAAAGTCGGAGAAATTATTTTCTGGCAATAATTATACGAATACTGTACGACACTATCAGAACATATTCCGTATTTTTTTACTGTAACCAGCTATTTCTAAAATACGCCATTGTTAATATAGGACATTTTTATGTGGCACTAAAAATAAAAGATTATATCGATTTTTTAATGCCTTATGACTGTATGATTATTAACTAATAGGTATTCGTGGATACATTCATGGACTTGAATATTTTCTTCAACTACGTTAAAATTGTTTAGACTAATATTCTTTGCATAATTTTAACATAGTCTTATTTCTCGAATTTTCAAATTTAAAATGTAGAAAAATTAATTATGTTATTAGTAGTATTAGAGATTTTGAAGATACTTTAATGATAAAGAAATATTAATTTAAAATACATTGAGCCCGCGAAAATAAAAAAAGTAAATTCGAAACAAATATCGATTAGGATTAAATATTAATTGCTATTAGAGAATATTCGTATAGCTTAATTAATTTTCTACGAAAGATAAGTTAATTGTGATTACTAATGTCAATTGCATTTACATAGATTTATGTATTAATTTTTTAACTTAGTATGTAAATTTCTTAATGTATTAACGAATATAACGAATATAAGTAATATTATTTAATTATTTACACTCTGTTCTCGATTGTAAAAGAAAAGAAAGATCTTTGTAATAAAATTTGGAGCATGGACCCAAAATATTGTACATATTGTAAATGCACTCTTTAGTATTACGGCATTAATAATACATTGTCTAAAAAACGTACCAACATCGTGGAAATTAGCACGAACGATTTATACATATTATACGAACGTCAACGATCATAATTATATTTTCTCCGCTATAATAGAATGTTTAACATTAACGTAGAAATGATCCCGGAACCAACTGACATTTATACAACCTCGTGATTTTTTCTCCTGCATTTATTGAGGATTAATCGGTAGATTCCAGTCATTTTAAATCAGCTCAGAAGTAGCTGTTAAGTAGATGTTCAGTGATTATTATTTGCAAGAATATATTTAAAAAACAAAGGAAAGACAAAAGAGAGAGAAAACAAGATGCATATTCAAGCCACACCTGGAGTTGACTTCATCAAACAATGGTACATTATACGTAGTAAAAGATACTTTTTGTAACATAAAATGAAATATAATCATTTGTAACAGCAGACTACAAATTAATTTTCTAATCTTTATCTTTTTCTTTTTCATTTTTTGTTTCTTCCTCTTCTTTTTCTTTCTTTTTTTCTTTTCTTTCGTCTTCTTTTGTTATTATTTAAATACATACACACATAGTGATATATTTTTTTAAGATAATGCCGAGTCATTGATAACAAGAAAAAAATTTTTACAATTCAGTTTCTAAATGTTTATAAAATGTATTCAATGTATTAATTTTTTTTATTAATGTTCATCAATCGATTTATATTACGTTGTTATCTTAATTATTTTGTATTGTTTTATATTGGGTTGTCCGAAAAGTTCGTGCCGACTAAAATTTAAATTTTAGTATACATTTATTAAATTAAAATTTTCTGCGTTTCAATTTTCCTTCAACATCGGCACGAATTTTCCGGACAACCCAATATTACATATATTATTGTGTAAAATATAAATGGACTAATATATGAAACATTAAATGTTACAATTTATTTTGAGTAGAAATAAGAAATTCATTAAATAAAAAATAACATTAATTTAAATGTGTCAATTTTCCTCGATCAGCCGTTGTGAAATGAAATAAATTCTATTTTTTAATTATATATAATTATATATAATATAATTATATTTTTTCCGTACTTCTGGCTATCATTTTTTCAATAATGCATTACTTCTGCGAGGTGCCTTTCAGTAATAATCAAGAGTAATAATCAAGATCATCCCCAAAATATATTAAAAATTCTGTAATTATCGGCACTGGAATGTTGTTTCTAGCAGTGCTCCGTATTATGCGACACGTGTTCGAATGTAGAGATTGTGAAGAGCCAAAAGTTACTTTTCACTTTTTAGCAAATTGACCCAAGAATATCCTACGAAATATAATTTATAGAAGATTTTCATATTCATATTTCTTCAATCATAATTTAATGTTTGTTCCTGCATCATCACAATTGAAGATATAGTAGAATTCTACCATATCTCGTACTCACTCCACAAACAGCTTCTGACTGAATCCACTCCATTCTCCTTTGATTCTCTTTGATATCCCATATATCCTATATGTATATGTGTATGCGATTTTGGTATAATATAGTGCTCACAAGTATAAGTTTAGTTCAATTATCAGCCACGTGATGTCTATCACTTTGTATTTAAGCGATTATTTAAATTAATTGTCGAAGTTATATTATGCCTATGTTAATTGATTTATATTTTTATTAAAATTTTAGTAAATTGTATAACTTTAATTCTTCGCTTTTAAATAGAATTTATTATCAAATTTATCTTCATCGAATTTGGAAATCAAATTAACAATGCAAATAATCCTTCCCGAACTACTTGTTTTTGATATGATTCCTATATAAGAAATAAAATATAAATGAGCATTTCGGATCCTCTGTAGAGGTAGAGGATCGAGTAGACTGATACTGATGAAAGCGCTTCCTGTCCCTATCTGGTAAATTAGAACAGGTCAACATGATTCAAAATCTTTATTTAATAGTTTCAATATACAGGCTCAGATATAAAATAATACAAAATTGTATTTCAACATAGTAAGTCTGGTTTGGTTGGTAGTATGTTTTCACAAAACTGATCTATAAAAAAAAGTCTGAAAAAACAGACTTGGATAGTATTCATATGGCTGCCATGAATATTGTCTATCATTTTATTACCAAAAAAAAACAAGATACAATATAAATAGTAAATAAACTAATTAATCGATAAAAGATGTATAAAATACTAACTTATTGAGTTAATCTAGTTTATAAACCTATAAACCTATAAATTAATAGATAAACCAGAATAGCATTATTGTGTTGCAATATTAGTACTGCCAATATTGAATATCTAGTATATATTACCTGTACTATAGTTCAGCTCTGTAGCAGTGAATATGGGAACAAAGCTAATGTAAACAATACTCTTAATTCTAATTACAGAATTACTATTTACCAGACTTATCACGTTGAAAGCAGTTTGAGATCTCAGTTAACAGGAGCCATTGAACAGGAAACGCCCATAGGCACTATCCTTATTCAACCAATAACATGAACTACTTTTTTGCATTCAGCATAACGCAACAGTTTTGCTGTTCAAAAATTTTTATGATAAAATATTTATATATACTGTTTAGACCCGGAATGCACTCAACATCTCGCAACACATTTACTTAACGGTCGCTATGGTCGCTATCATGATGAAAAGAAGAAAGATGAATCACTCCCATTATTCACCATGGTGGAGGAAATCATGGAGGAAACCAGCATGATGGAGGAGATACCACAGTTGGTATCATCAGCTCGATTATTATCACAATCGGTATTTGCGCAGCGATTGCAGGTAAATTCGTCGAATTATTGAAAGATAAAAAGCTTCAAAGTCTTATCCGCGAGAGATTAGTTTCTCAGTTTTTCACTTGATCGTCGTTCGTGGAAGAACGTGACGGCTTTTATTCGTGTATATACATACATAATATTGCAGTGTACTCCGCTGTGCGTTTTCCTTTCGCTCTCGTTCTCCACTGCACATAAAAGACTGACTCGCAGTGACGTGCCCTCATCAATCAATAATTTTTTACGGCACGCAAATTTGTGTCTGAATATGTAATATTGGTAATTATACAATTTAGCAGAATCACCTCAAAAATCAATAAATTTAGACTTATTCGATGCGTTTTTGCATGAAATGAAAAAATCTAATAGAAATAAGTTCTGCCTCAGAACCAAGATATTAAGCATTAAAGTTGGAGACTTTAGAGATACTTGCCCTTCCGACTTGTTACATCCGCTATGTATTAATTACACAAATTCATTGCTTTACAAACATAAATTTACTGTCTTTGCATTAGTGAATTTGTAAAGCAGAGAATTTGTTTTTAAAGCAGTGAATTTGTATAATTAAAGCAGAACATATATGTGCTATATCGAATCAGAATGACAGATATTTTAACCTCTAAAGTCTCTAATTTTAAAATTTAATAACTCGATTCACGAGACCAAGCGCCGCATTTTTTTGTCAGATTCTTTCATTTTGACTGAAAACGCGTCGAATGAATATATTTTTATTAAAATTTTAGATGGAGAGGCTATTCTAAATAATTATCCAAAACGTTATATACTTCGTAGAAGAAAGATTAATGACGCAACTTCATCATCCAGCGAAGTAACATACTTCCATATTTTCACTCACATTGTATTTGTTTACATAATTCTATAATGATTTTTCTAATTAGAGGACCGAAAGAATAGTTTCCATCAGAGAGAGATTGTTAATTATTGTTAATTCTCATTTGTAACATTTTTATGTTGCTATTTGTGCAAATTGCATCATGACACTTGTCGAATACGTGCAAACTCTATCTGATAATCCTTACTTCGGCGCTGGCTTTGGTTTATTTGGCCTTGGAGCTGGAGCTGCTTTGTTGAGAAAAGGTGTTCAGGTTGGAGCTGTATTATTTAGGTACAATTATAAATTGCTTGCTTTATACAGCAAATTTTTTATAATATTTATTGTATTTGTTAAGTACAGTTTGTTTATTTAATTTAATATGTTACTTTTTTATTAGACGACATTATATGATCACTTTGGAAGTTCCATGCCGCGATAAGAGTTATCAGTGGCTTCTGCAATGGATCACGCACAAAGGCGCACGAAAGACACAGCATCTCTCTGTGGAAACTAGCTTTGAACAGAGAGAGACTGGTCATGTAAAAACCAAATATGATTTTATTCCTAGCATAGGAACTCATTTTTTCAGGTCAGGATATGACTGAATTTTTTAAATGCTAATATTTTCTGCTAAAAAATAAAATTTGGGTGCAATTTAGTGACATAAGTCGACAAACATCATTCTATTTGCTTGATATATATTCAAATGCATTGAGTAATGAAGAACAACATTTGTTTCATCTATATTAATTACAATTTATTTTAAATTAATTTATTTAAACTAAAGCTGGAATTTCTTCGGCTTGACTGTCTTCAATATCTTTCCTAATTTTACAGATATAAAGGCAACTGGATAAAGGTAGAAAGAACTAGAGAACAACAGACTTTAGATCTACATATGGGCGTACCATGGGAAACTGTGCAGTTGACGGCGTTTGGCAAAGACAGAAGCATATACTTTAATATTCTCGAAGAAGGTTGAGTTGTTAAAATATTTACAGACACATTACGTAACATCAGAAAATCAGAGGCAATTCTTAATTCGTATAGCCAGACAAATGGCTTTGAAAGAACACGAAGGAAAGACTATAATGTATGTTGCCATGGGGAGCGAATGGCGACAGTTTGGACATGCCAGAAAGAGAAGACCGCTGGAATCGGTGGTCCTAGATACCGGTATCTCCGAGAGGATATTAAACGATTGTCGGGAATTCATCAATAATCCGTCGTGGTACAGCGAAAGAGGTAAATCTAATAGCGAATTCAGTTCAGTCACTTGCATTACAGATTAGATTAGTGTACACTAAAAGCAACTAGATGTGAAATTAGTGAAGTTAATGTAAAAGTATATAAATATTTTAAATACTCAATAATGATATTGTCTTGTTATTTAATGTTAGAAGTAAGAACAGTCATTATCGATTTTTATTTTTTAGATTAATAATCTTCTTGTGTAAAAGATAGGATTCTATAAAGTTTTCAATTTTTAACTAATCATGTTTTATATTGACAAAATAATTTTTTATTATTTTCTTTGTTTTCATAATAATTTATCCGTTCGTTTCTTTTAATGAATAAAAAATGTTGATAATTCCAGTGTTAATATATTATTTCATTGTTTGTTAAAAATTAATTATATTAGCAACTGCATTTAAGTATTTTATTTAAAATAGTCTTTATGTATATTAATCTCGTATAGTGCGAGTGACAGAATTTTTAAAACTAACAGAATTTACTATAAGATTTTTACTTTCTGCTCTAAATACAAAATCCGATGTCATTCATTAGCAAATCGAAAAAGCAATGCTGCATGTATATATGTTTCCAAGAATTAAGAACAATCTTTCTAGGAATACCATATCGCCGGGGCTATTTGTTACATGGACCTCCGGGATGCGGTAAATCTTCATATATTACCGCGTTGGCCGGGGAATTAGAACGCGGCATTTGTGTTTTAAATTTATCCGAAAGAGGTCTGACGGATGATAGACTGAATCACTTATTAGCAGTAGCACCACAGCAAACGATCATCCTGCTGGAGGATATCGATGCCGCTTTTATCAGTAGGGAAGATTCTAAACAAGGTAGAGATGACTTTTAATTATAAAGCACAAAATAAGGTATTAGAACAATAAATAAATTAGTTATTTTCATATTTTACTTTCAACTTCAGTTAAGGCAGCATACGATGGTCTCAATAGAGTAACGTTCAGTGGTCTATTAAACTGTTTGGATGGTGTGGCTTCTACAGAAGCTAGAATATTATTTATGACGACTAATTATTTGGATAGATTAGACCCTGCGCTCGTTAGACCGGGCAGAGTCGATGTAAAAGAATATATTGGTACGTATAGAAAAATAAGAGACTAGAAATATAATTAATGAACTTAAATATAATAATTATTTCGATGCTATCTTTCAGGATGGTGCAGTACAAATCAGGTTGAGCAAATGTTTTTAAGATTTTACAAGGAACCGGGCAAGGATTCTGGTGTACTTGCAAAGGATTTTGCGAACAGCGTCATGTCTTTCAAGAAAGACGTCAGTCCGGCACAGATTCAGGGATACTTCATGTTCCACAAAAGTAATCCCAACGCGGTCGTAAATAACGTCTCGCAAATTTGGGAGCTCACGTGATAAAAAGTGAAATTGTAGTTATAATTTGAAGTAAAGCTACATGCAATTGGCTAGATTAGTTCCCTTTCTGTCCAAAAAGGTACATTTATACTATTCTCAAAGAAGAGAAACCAGATTATAGTATGGATAATGAGTCTAGTTGTAGTCTAATTGTTTTTATTTTCCCTTATAAAACAAATACAAAATGGGATGGAGATCTCAGTGAAAGTAGCTGAAAATATTTCTATTAATCGTGTGATATATACAATACATGATGATATTATCGTTGACGTAATGTCATGTATTGTAAAATACAACGTCATATTCTCACTCGATATGAGTATGTAATACTCTACTATTTAATATCAATACATGAAGGAAGATGGGCATTTGAAATACCAACAAAATTTATCTACATATCTCACACATTTTTCGTGTAACTAGTGCACTACTTTGCATTTGTACCACCGGTAATTGTATACGGACGAATATCAATGCTGCTTTATTTAAAAAAAATTATATAACAAATACCAATCTTTAATTGGATGCTGCATTAAAAGAAAAATTTGTGTATATGAAATGATATAAAACTTATGATAATGTAATGGTATTAATCATAAAAAAATTTGTGTACGAATATCATAAAGAAAAGGAGTTTGCACTGGATGAGTTTAACAGCCTGCTTGAAATTGATTTGCTACACTTTTCTAATTGAAACGTGCCAATTTGTACTGTAGTTTTAAAATAGATTCATATATATATTAATTAAATATATAGAATATATACTATGTAAAATCATTTATATATAACTCTCACAAAAAAGGATCGAATAGGAGTTATATATCGAAAATAGATCTATTATTAGATTCGTTAAGAAGTTTCTTGGATTTTCTATTCTACATACTATTAATAAGTAGTTTATATGCCGAATCAGCCGATATTTGTGTCTAAATTCATTTGATATTCAGATCATGTTTTCTTTCAACTGTTAAAGATATTTACAACATAAATGTTAAAACCTTAAGTTAATGAAGTTTGATCATATTGTATAAAAATCAATTTTTAATATACAATGATTTAATTATGACTGCACATTATTTAAAGAGACGATATTTATAGCAAAATAAACGTGACGTCTTTGCTCTATTCTATACGATTCTATATGTACATATTATAGTCTTCATGTTGATTTAAATTGGTCTAAACGTTGTATGGTATTATAAAAGTTTCTCTTTAAAATCAATAATTTTTTCTTAGATATAACAATAAAATTATCGAGTTTTCTTCTTGCACATGCTTAGACATATCTTCTAATATTGCAATTTATGTATAAGTTAAATCGCGTACATAAAAGTCATAATACTAAAATATTTATCTTAATTGTATTGACAAAATCTCTGCATCACTGATTCTCAAACTTTTCAATTGCCGGAACCCTTTTCATAAAAACATATTTTGCGGTGCTAATAAATGACGGAGTTTGTTCAAATGCAATTAAACTTTTCAATTTTCAATTTTTTTTCCTACATATGCGGTTCAGATTGTCGTACTGATGTATCTAAAAACTCCAAATATATGGCTCGTAATTTAGAGGATCTGTTTGCTCCATGTGACTGGCATGACTACTGCCGCTGACCATGCACGATGGATACGCGACGCCGGAATTGCTCGGGCCTGACACAGGTGGAACTATCGGTGCCAATCTGCAGTCCGGTCTCTGTTGCATTATTGGGCCCATCGACATCAGTTGCGGTGCTGGTGGCGGAGGCGGTTGCGACAGTGCGGGAGGTGCGGTAATATTATGCACTGGTTGCATTATGTTAGGACCCGAAACATAATTTCCCACTAAAAAGTGATTTAAAGAAATTAGTTTTTTTCTCACATGTGTATTCATATTATTTGTTATCAGAAAATTATTATTATTATTATTATTATTATTATTACTCAACACTTACTGTTTCCAGGATTATGGAACGGTAATGGAGGTTGTTCCTGTATTATGTTTGCCGGAGGTGAAATCGCTTTTGGTGGTGGCGGTGGCTCATTACTTTTCTTCTTCCGCACGATACGTTTTTGACTGTTATTTATTATCTGATTACGTTTCTTATCACTACTCTTCTTCTTCTTTTCTCCCGGCATTTTCGGTTTGTTAGGACGATTGCCACTAGGCTGCCACAAATGAACTGTGTGGACTGCATTGCCTTCGCTAAAAAAAAAATACATAACATTTTGTTTTTATGTTACAAAAAATGTTTCACAATTAGAATACATTTTAATTATAGAAATTTATTTCTTAACAAACTCAGTCTCTTTACAAAATTTTTTTAGAAGTTCCTAAGGAACATTTCAAAAGAAAAATTATAGAGATAATTTATCTAACCCTTGCTTTTTGCCCAATTTCCAGCTGTGTATCCCAGCTTTGTGAAGCCTCTCTCTAATTGTATCCACGCTGCATTTAAGACCTAGCGCAGGTGCTACATATTTAGCGGCGGTGAGAGGATGCTGAGTAGCCATTGCGACGATGGCCTCGTCTTGTTCCTTGGTAGTAATTCTACGTCGACCCTTTCGTTCCTTTGTTTGCACATTGCCTTCCTTATGCCAACGTTCTAACCATCTTTTAACAGTACGTTCCTGATTAATTCAAAATCATGTCCATGTAAATCTTTTGTGTTAACTTTCTCAAGTTTGTAATACAACTTTCATAACTATTCACATATAATCTAGAGATCTACAATAGATGAGATATACAATATATGAATTATGTCTAGGTTAATTTAAAACTTAGTAAGAGCAATATACTTTTGACATACCGATCTATCGATCGCCAATGCAATGGACAAGGTGGATAGTCCAGCCTCGGACATTCCGATCATACGATTCCTGATCTCCACGCTAGTCTCTAATGTTCCCTTCGCTTTGCCACCTTTCTTCATTTTCTTCTGTCGTTCTGATTTTTGGCCTTTGTGCGACGATTTCTTATTCTGTTGACATTCGCAGGATGACTCACTATTAGAACGACTGATTCTTAAAACGAATGAATCGCCAGAACTACACGTGTCCGATCCTACGTTCTCGTTCGTCTGCTCAGGACTAGAACGTCTGCCGGACTGCAAGTGCTGATGTTGTTGTTGAATTTGATGTTCCACGGTCAGTCGCTGCTGATCGAGACTATGATGATGAGACTGAGTATTCTGCTGATGCGATTGATCCTGCAGTCGCGTCTGTACTTGTGCCTGCACGTGCTGGGCCTGTTGCACGTGATGTTGCTGCTGTTCCTGCTGTGTGTGCAGCTCTTGCAGTTGCGTCGGCGGCGGTGGATGCTCGTGAGGCAAGGGATTTGGTTGTCCCTGTAGATAATATACAAGCATTATATCGTACATGCATATTGTATTTGTCTTAAAAATAATAAAAAATGAACCTGTGGATAATGATGACTCCCTTGCACCAAATCCAACGGCCAATTTTGTACCATGTTCAATCCTGGATGTTGATAGATAGGCTGCGGTTGTTGCACTAGACTCAACGCGTTGCCAAACTCCGTCTGACTCGTAGATACAGAGGATTGCATTTCGGTGACTTGAGGAGCGGAAGGCAGTGGAGGAAGATTTTGCTGAGAAAACACGAATTCTTGCTGTTGCTGTTGCTGCTGCTGCTGCTGCTGCTGCTGTTGCTGCTGCTGCTGCTGCTGTTGCTGCTGCTGCTGCTGCTGTTGTTGTTGTTGCTGTTGTTGCTCAGCGTTTTGATTCTGCTTTAGACTTTCCGTCGGTGCACCATCGTCGGCGTACACCTCTCGAGATCTCACTTTTTTTGATGGATTCTTCTTTTTAACAGTAACATTTCTCTCAGACTTGTTCGAGTCTTTGGGAGTTTTCTTTTTACCTAATTGGGTGCCGGTCGGTCGCCATACCGCCTGTTGAATCGCTGCGCCGTCTGCATCACTGGAAAATTAATCCCATAATCAGAGAACAGATATTAAAAGCTTATTCAGACCTATTCTTATAATATAATATATAATATATAAATATAACAGAATGCTTGCTTTTTCATATTTAAAATCTGAGAGAGTCTAAACAATTTCGAATTGAAATAAAGTTACATCTGTATGCTTATTATAATCTTTATCAATCTATATCAAGTATAAAACTGAAGGACAAAAGTAGAAACCCATTGAACTTAATGTCTTTAATGTATTTCTATACGTATTATTATTACATATTTTAAGATTGCAAGACAAACGACTATTCAGTTGAACCTTTGCGAACATTTTTTTTTCTCTAATGGGAAAAAAAGAGGAAAGAGGTAAACCTTGCAAGAAATTTAATTGAAAAGAACAGAGACTTAAAAAAATCGAAACTATATAGAATATACTCAAAAATATTAACCCTAATGGAATCCTTTGCATGTATTTGCGCGAGGGGCTCCAATTGTGGATTCCAGCTTTGTGCAGCCTTTCTCTCACGGTATCCACGGAACAGGTGAGACCTAACGCAGGAAGCACTGCCTTCGCCGCCGTTATGGGCGTTTGAGTGGCTAAACGAATTATTGCTTCATCTTGTTCTACAGTAGTGGCTCTCTTGCGTCCGCAACGCTCTCGTGTCTCCACTGTGCCTTCCTTGTCAAATCTATTCAACCATCTCTTCACTGTACGTTGCTGAAAGCAATCAAGATATTAACAAATATATTCTTATTAGACAGTCGTGAAAATTCATCAAAGCTACAATGTATTAGGATTCCAAAGGAATTCTGTAAGGAATACTGTCCACTTCTATCAATGTAAATAAGTTTTTATCTTGATTTAATTTATTGCTCTCTATCTTCTTCTAGTGAACAATAAAATTGAATCACTTCATAGAATGACTAATTTACTTTTTATCTTTTTCTAATTAATTTCTTTAGAATTAAAAAACACGAAGAGTAAGTTAAACCATGATTAAAGTTAATCTACATTGGTGGAAATGGGTATAATTGATGTAGATTAACTTTAATCTCAGTTCAACTTATTCCTAAAAAGACAAAAAAATAAGTCAAATTGAGATTATTTTCACATATTTTCTTTCAATTCTAAGAAATAAAAAAATCATATCTTTTTCTAATTCTTAGAATTAGAAGAAGATAATTAAGTTAAACGGAGATTAAAGCTAATCTACACTGATAGAACTGAACCAATTATATATGTAGATTAATTTTAATTTTAATCTCAGTTTAACTTACTTTTATCTTTTAAGAATTAGAAAAATCATTTTAAATACTTATAATAATACCTTTTTAAATACTTTTTAAATACTTATAATTAGAGGAAGATAAATTGAGATTAAATCTACATTGATAGAAATGTACCAATATAGATTAATTTTGGTTCAACTTATTTTTTATCGTTTTTTTTTAATTCGTAGAACAAGAAAAACATTATCAAATCGAGATTAAAGCTGATTTATTAATATAATTTCTATCTATGATATAATGTTTATCTATAATTTCATATAAACATAAGCTTTATTTACCGAGCAATTGACCGCGGCGGCGATCTCTCGCAGGCCGAGACCGGCCTCGTACATTCCCACCATCCGATTCCTCAATTCGGGAGTCGTCTCGTGGACGCCTCTCGTCTTGCCCATCTTCCTCGTCTTCGGGAACGACGGACCAAGCGGGGATTTAAATCGCACGCGACGTGTGACGTACGCGAAAGGACGCGAATCACGTGACGAGAGGCGACCACCGATCGTCGCCTTCGAATCTCTTTCTCTCCTTCTTTCTCTCTCAAAGCTCGGCTTCGCAATCACTCGCGAACATCCTGGAAGGATCCGGTTATCGCGGAATCGATTAACTCAACGGCGAATGTCGTCATCGTGCCAGGATCGTCGACATCACCGAGCGTCTTCGGACAGCGTCTCGACGTCCGGATTCTCGCGGAGTCGTGTCGTTTTCTTTCACCCGCGGACGCGGGGATCGCTCCCGCATCGGTCACCACCGTTCGCCAAACGTCGCGCCGGGTTCTCTTCGGCCTCTTTGACTCTTTCTCGTCTCGCCGAAACGTACGGCTCTCCTTTTCTCACCACTCCGCTTCTCACCGCTCCGCTCCGCTCCGCGCCGTAGCCAGACGAAGGGATATACCCAGCGGGAGGGACACGCGTCCGCGGTCAATACAACTGCCGTCGAGTACAGTCTGTCGAAATTCTTTTGTCCCTCGGCTGGCGTCACGACGCCCAAGACGCGCGCGAGATGAATGTCGCGGCCGCGTCACCGAGACGCAGATCGCGCGTAATCCAGATTCCTGATCGCCTCCGCGGCTCGCCGAACCTCCGGTTCCTCAGGTTCCTGGAAAGTCTCACTGATGATCGTCGCGCGTCGTCAATCGGAGTCCTGCGGACTGTACCGCGCCATCGTCGGTACAGTCCGCGGCGATCGACGCGAGCGACAGGTGTGCCGTTCGAAATTTCGGGCTCCCCAACGTTTCGGTCCGGCAAAGTTTAACAGGCCGATCGGCACACGATATGTGTTTAGTGTCCTCCGTTTTGTAAATAAATTAACCACGTGGCAAATTCGCGACGCGAGTCGCACGACAATACTTGTTCTGACCGCGGTCAATACTTGACCCGCGGACTGTACGCGGGAAAAGTACAGTCGGTGGGAATGACTGGGATACCGAATTGGAGTAAATCGCGTCGTGTCTCATCGATTTATTCCAACACGATGCGATTTTATTTAATTTGATAAATGTTGAATGCAATCTAAACATTCGCATAATGCGCTGTTTGATTTGATCTTATTTTTATACACGACTGATCCATTGATTGCATTATACGGAGTACGGTAATGTATGAGAGGTGCCTTTTGTGACATTTACGTCGCGTGGTCAATAATTCCACGGGCGACTGTACCGGAGAGAAGTGAGGTTATTCAAAGCCCGCGTTCGGATACGCTCGCGCACCTCCGCTGGAATTGTATTGACTCAGAAAACGCACGTGTCAGCCGCGCTTTCACAGGGAGTGCGTTCCATTTGACTTTTACAACACTAACAAGCATTATTTATCCTTGTTTTTAACATTTAAACAATAAGGAAAGAATGATTTCATGCGAACGTCAAATGAAACAACGCACTCCAGGACGATGGCTGCGCGATACCACGTGAAAAGATTCATCATCATCCGCGCTTCATCATTTCCTGGCTTCGAGTAATTCTAAAGGGTCAAATACAGGCTACGGTTTGGACGCTCACGCGATTTAAGCTTCATCATTCTGTCTTTATCGTTCATTCGATTTATTAGACGTAAAATAAGAATAAAAGTATTGAAAGCGCTGAAAGTGTTTAAATCAACTGTAGCCACAATAGAATGAAACTAATAAACAGATTTCAACATATCAGAAATCAGAATACATGGTTTCTGATAAGTTGAAATCTGTCAGATAGTATACATATTATACAAATCCCAGACACAGAATACTTATGATATATTTATTACCATTCATTTTTTGAAATGCAATATAAATATTTTAGACATATTTTATATAAAGCTTATTATTTGAAATATATGAATTATTAAAATATAGACTAAATATTTTATATAATATTTATGATGAATATATGTAAATAAATATTTATAGTACCTATTTTTTACTTAAGTTCTAATGTCTTATTAAGTTATACTTTTATAACATTTACTACAACATTTACAATAAATATTTCGTAATATTTA